CAATTTCCCCTTGTCGATACGCGGGAGCCCCCATGGCCCAAATAATGCAAAGGAAACCAGCTCTGAGAAGATAGCCCACTCTGTGCACACAACAAAAATACAAACGATGACGCTCTGGCGACGCAATGCCAGGCGCAGCAAGACCTCGAGGAACACGCGGCAACATTCGGCCCGACATCAAAAAGACACGTCGCCAATTTGAAAACGTCGCCTTGCCCTTCGTGGCTCAGCAAGTGCTTCCATGACCTTACAAACTGGGCTATGGGCCTGCAAATCGAATTCGCAACATACTGGTTTTGTGTCCTGGTGGACCCCCGTCTCCTGTCGCTCGGGCGCGGCAGGGTCGTGATGCACCGTCTAACGACGCGCAAACGGGGGTGGCGAGGGGAGGGGCTTGAAATGGCGAGTAAGAAGACAAGGGGGCTCTTCGAAACGATTGGGGCTTTCTCCTCGTAATCGTCTCGGGAACCGGACAATCCTCCACACATCAACCATTCGACGCAATGTCTTGCTGTAGTGGGAACCCTTGTGCCGCCGCGTGCGCGCTACCGCTATCCGCGGCGGACCTTCCGCAAATCAGCCACCCCGCGGCTTGAGCGCACGACGGCGAAAACTTGGTCGAACGATCCCCTCGCTCCCAATTGACTGGACAAGACACGTTGCATTTAAAACGAATGTTACAACCGCCTGGCTCCGGTCCAGTCGTAAGCAAATAACGCATGAACGAGTGTTCTGACCTCCGCCACCGTGCCTCTGGGCACGGGGGGGGCGTGCCATCAGGTTCTTTGCCGAATCCCTCAAACCTCAGTCCTCAATCCTGAGGCATCTTCAAGGAATCCGATCCGAAATTGCCAAGTCCCCCGGGGCTGCCCGCGGCTGGTCGAGGCTTCCCGCATCTCCCCGCGTGACCTTATGGGGCCCAAGAGGGCCCCAATACGGGCCAAGAGCGCCCCGAGAGACCCCCAGATGGCCCAAAAAGGGCCTCGAAGCACCAAAAAGAGCCGCTCCAAGAGGTCTGGGATGGCCCCAAGACGCCCCTAGGGGCCTCCAAGACGCCCTCGAGGGTCCTCCAAGCGGCCTCCCGAAAGGGCCATCAAAACGGCCCGAGAGGCGCGCAAGACGGCACACGATGGGCCCAAAGACGGTACTGTCCCGAGAGGGGCTCCAAGAGGGGGCCAGGAACTGGGAAATCCGACCTCTGCGCCCCGATCAGGCCCCCGGGAGGCCCCAAGGGGATCCCAAGGTGCCCCCCAGGCGGCCCCGAGAGGCCCCCAGGACGCCCCAAGAGACCCCAAGAGGCCCCGCAGAAACCCCAAGAGGCCCCCAACCGGCCCCCAGGAGGCTTCAGAAAGGGCCCCCGATGGCCCCCCCGCGGCATCCCAGAGGACATCCTATATCCTGCGGCCCAAAACCCAGGCACGGTGGCGGGATTGGTCGACGGCCATTACATATACATTGTTCAGCATGGTGTCCCCGCGATGGCTTCCGATCTAGCAACGTGGCATGCACCTTGGGATTGTGGCGGTTTGGGTCGCCCAAGCGGCTCCAACAAACGCTTCCTCATACACCACCATGATTGATCGTGCGATTGGCCTGTCATGCTGAAATGACGGGAACCCGCGGTGCATAGTGCAATATATTGAGTTTCCGTGGGGAGTTCCTGCGGCGTACATTCCTCGGATGCCTGGCAACACCCTCATTGCGAGGCCAGGACGCACACGCCTGTCCTCCAGCTCTAGGTGCGAAGAGCAGGTGCCAATGTAAACCCGCCGGCAGGCATGGGCATCCTGGCCGGCCAGCATGGCACTTACTTAGCGCCACTGATCATGAATGTCGAAGACGGCCGAGCCAGCACGCTCAGTCTGGCCGTTTCCCAGCTAATCGCGCGGGCCACAGATCTCGGATGCCTGCCAAAACCCTGTTTGCGAGGGCTGGATGCCCATGCTCGTCCGTCGACAGGGATGGGCAGCCAGGCTCTGGGCACGATGAACAGGTGCCAATGCTTGTCCATAGACAAGGGGTATAAATACGGGCCAACACGGTGGTTAAGTCACAGTCGTCAAGGCCGAAGGCTTCTGCGACCTCGACGGCACCGTGGCCAGACCCATGTCACTAAAGCGAGCCATCGTTTTCGGATGCAGAGCAAGCCCTTGTGGCTAGGGCGGTGTGCTCATGACTAGCCATCGGCAAAGATTGGCATCTTAGCTTTGGGCACGCGGAGCAGATGCCAATGTCTGCCCATCGCCCGGGATGGGTACCCAGGACGACACGGCGCCTACTTGACACAGTCGATGTCGAAGGCTGCCACGCATGCGGCTGCACTCTGGCCGCGTCAGGACCAGTCAGGCGGACCAGCGTTCTCTAATTTAATTTAGCCGACCATCTTTGGAAACAGGCAACAATATGCATGATATGCCATACCCCTCGGACTGAGCATGCCCATTGTGTAAGGGCACCCCTGGTCCGGGGACGCACGCCGGCAAGGCGTCCTAATGGCTGCTGCTGCGCCAACAGTGCGCCTATGAATGACAACGCGGTGTTCCAGCACATCGTTTGGACGAGCCCTTAACAACTCGAATGCCTGGCAACACGCCCGTTGCGAGGGCGGGATGCTCATGCCCTTCCATCGAGGGCGACGGGGCTCGGAAATCCAAGCACAGGGAACGGATGCCAATGCCTTCCTACCGACGAGGGTGGGCATCCAGGCGAGCACGGCGCCTACTTGACACCGTGAGTGCTGAAAGCTGACAGACAGACAAAGACCCAAAGTCGGGCAGCGCCCGGCCCTGCTGCGGGGGCCTGAGTGGATGGCACCACAGTGCCTCAGATGGACTCGTACACGAATCTGTCCTCAAGGCTCGTCCACAGCTCCACTAGGGGAACAAAAAGTGACATAAACATGAAACCTCGGAGGTCCGTGCGGATTTCTCGGATCGGCGCTGGAACCCCCCTCCCTGGCGCGCGGAGCGCGCCAGGGGCGGCGCCGGAGGCGCCGCCGGGGGGCCCCAGCGCCGATCTGAGAAATCCGCGCGGACCTCCGAGTTGTTATGTTTATGTCACTTTTTGTTCCCCTGTCCACGTTGCAAGCATGCGACATCCAGACGCCGTCGGGGCCGTCATGGCCCGCAGCACGCAAGGAGTGATCTACGTCACCGCCCAGCGTTTCCGACGTCTCCCCTGCGGGCCCAACATGCTCGGATGCCCAGCGGAGCCCCTCGCTGCGAGGGCGAGCCGTCCGTGCCTCTCCGTCGGCAACGACACGCACCTGAGCTTCGGGTATGAGGAGCGGATGCTGATGTTTGTTGATGGGCCTGTTTTCCACTACCACCACCACCATCATAAGTTGGAGGGGGGAAGGAGCTGGAGGACGAGAAGGAGGAGGACGAAAAAGAGGAGGAGGAGGAGGAGGAGGAGGAGGAGGAGGAGAAGGACCCCCTCCCCCTCCAACTTATGGTGGTGGTGGTGGAACAAAAAAGCCCATCATGTGTCCATGAACGGGGGCGGGCCTGCAAGTCAACGCGGCGCCTTCTTGACACCGCCAGGGGCGAAGGCCGCCGCGCTCGCAGCGGCGCCCTGGCCGCCTCACAACCACTTACTTTTCGCGGCCCAGAATTCAACCCGTGGGATGCTCGCGGGAGCCAGCCGGGCTGTGGCCACCTGCGTGTCCGAGCGCTTACCCTCTAGCTTCCGCTGCGGGTCGCTGTCTACCTCCCCGGGGAGTGCCGCGCCTGGCCTGAAAATCAGGGCGCACGATCCTAGGCCGCTGCCGCCCAGCCGTTTACTGGTTAAGGGGCTACTCTGGGTGGCAGCGCCGCATGCGTCCCCTGAGCAGGAGGCAGGAGAAGCAAGAAGCATGGGCAAGAAGACGATGATGCTGGAGTGTGGAAGTGGGGAAAAACTGCATAAGCTTATACTTCTGCAGATCCGTCTGGATGTCTGGGGTCAACGCAGGACCCTTTTTCCTGGAACGCGGAGCGCAAAGGGGTGGCGCTGGAGTTGCCGCCAGCGCTGTCCAGCGCAGAACCAAGAAATCCGCGCGGACATCCGAAAGTTCTGTTTATGGTGTTCCTTCTTCGAGTGAAGCTAGAGATGCGGGACTTGGGAGAGCAGGATGAAGAAGAGGAGAAGAGCCTCTGGCATCTCGATGCTCTCCCGGTCCCAACCCTCCTCCGAGTGGGCCGCCAAGCAGACAACCGCCACGTCCACCCCCTTCGCAGGGTTCCGCGCACTCTATGGGGCGAGGCGGTCCTTCTCCTGCTCCTCATCCAATTCATCATCGTCCCCCTGCTGCTATTGCTCCTGACCCCGACTTGGCCGAACAGTGGCCGCCGCATCGAACCAAGGGAACAATGCAGGAGCAACATTCAGCAGCAACGGCTGCAGCAGCTTCTCCTGCTCCTCCTCCTCCTCCTCCTCCTCCTCCTCCTCCTCCTCCTCCTCCTCCTCCTCCTCCTCCTCCTCCTCATCCTCCCCCTCCCCCTCCTCCTCACCCTCCTCCTGTTGCGCCTCCTCCCCCTCTCGCTTCCCATCCTCCTCTGCCTCCCTCCGTTGATCCCTGACCTCCCCCCCCTATACTGCGATCCCACCTCTGCTCCGTCCTCCTCCCTCCCGCCCCACTTCCACTCCCTCCTGCTCCTCCTCCTTTTCCTCTTCCTCCTCCCCCTCCTTTCTACCACCCTCGGACAAATCCCTCGTCCTCCCCCTCCTCCGCTGGGGCGAAGATAGGCACCTCGCCCGATACATTTGCTGGCCATACCTTCGCACCAGCAGCGTCCTTGCTCTTGGTCACCGTCGCCGACTTCAGCTTATCCTCGAGGAGGGCGACGACAAGACTGAGAAGTATGCAGGAGGAGGATGTGGAGGGGCAGGGAGAGAGAGAACGGGAAGGACGGGCGCACACACAGCCCAACCATGGTCGCAACCGCGTGGGAAGTAATGAGAGGGGAACGAAAAATTAATGAGAGGGGAACGAGAAATTACAAAAACATACGAGCTCGGAGGTCCGCGCAGATTTCTCGGATCGGCGCTGGACCGCACTGGCAGCGCCTCCGGCGCCGCCCCTGGCGCGCTCCGCGCGCCAGGGAGGGGGCCGATCTGAGGATTCCGCGCGGACCTCAGAGTTGTTATGCTTATGCCATTCTTCGTTCCCCTGGTCTCGACCAACGGCTGCCGGGTCCAGCACCGATCTGAAAAATCCGCGCGGGCCTCCGAGTTTTTATGCTTATGCCATTGTTCGTTCCCCTACATTTGATTGTCGTTTATCCGATCCCCATCCCCAGCGGCGTGACCTGGGCCCCACTGGCCGATTTACCCCCCTAGATGGGGATATAGGTCGTTCCCTTCGGGTTTCGAGGGGTGTATCTCCAACTGGGGGGGTAATTTGGTGGGGGTCTCGAACGGGATGGGGATGGGGATGGGGATCGGATAAACGATATTGAGCCATTGTTCGTTCCCTACATTAGTCAGTGGAGCTGCCGCCACCCGAATAAAACACCAGCTATGGCAGACCTGGTTTGGTGTTTCTGGCCAATTCGAAGGCTCCGGGGCCCTACCACTAACTGGGTCCCCTTACCCGGGGTCCTGGCCATACCCGATACATGAGCCCGTCAGCCGAGGGCCCAGTGTCGGCGGTGGACAAACCTCCCTTTAGTAAACCTCCCCTTAGTGAAAACGGCCTGGGACCGAAACCGACGGACCTGGACCCGCAAAAACAACGGCCGCGACGCCCTCTCGCGAACCGAAAACGACCAATTCCTTAATCGACGTGTCAGGGTAGGAGGTCTGTCCACCCCCGAATTGTTCGCTCCCCTACATGGGCCCGTCAGCCGAGGGCCCAGTGCTTCAGAGCTGCCCGCCACGAAGACACGCTTTTTTGATTCGCGGGTCGAGAGCGCACCTCTTCCGGTCGAAGCTAAGGAGCGCAGCCTCAAACCCAGCCACGAGGACATGCCCCAGGCAGGGAGGCGACGGCCGCAAAAGGAGGGCACCAGGCGCGCAGGGCGTGCGGCACGGGCGAGGAGCCGAAGGCCTCGCCGGGCCCGCGCGGCACGCCAGCGCGCGGCTGCGCCCCTCCTCCTGCTCCTGCTTCTCCTCCTCCTCGTCCTCCTCCTCTCCTCCTCCTCCTCCTCCTCCTCCGCCTCCTCCTCCTCTTCCTCCTCCTCGCTCTCCTCGCTCTCCTCCTCCTCCTCCTCCTCCTCCTCCTCCTCCTTCTCCTCTCCTCCTCCTCCTCCTGCTCCTCCTCCGCCTCCGCCTCCTCCGCCTCCTGCTCCTCCTCCGCCTCCGCCTCCTCTCCTCCTCCTCCTCTCCTCCTCTCCTCCTCCTCCTCCTCCTCCTCCTCCCGTCCTCCTCCTCCCTGTCCTCCTCCTCCTCCTCTTTTTCCTCCTCCTGCTCCTCCTCCTCCTGCTCCTCCTCCTCCTCGCTCTCCTCCTCCTCCTCCTCCTCCTCCTCCTCCTACCTTTAGGTCGGGCATGGCATGTCCCCCTACAGGCAGATTTTAAACAGAAAAGAGAAACATACTCCTCCTCTTCCTCCTCCTCCTCCTCCGCCTCCCCCCTCCCGCGACCGAAACGGGGACGGGAAGGATGGCAGGACCAGCCAGAAGCGGAACGTGCGTCAGCTCGGGCCACATCGGCATGGAGTCGAAATCGAATCGGCTTGGCCGCGCAGGGCTGCGAATCAGAAGACGAACTGGGGACGGAAGAGAAGGCGGCGGAGACCGAGAACGCGTTTTCGTATCAACTATTGACGTGAAAGGCGTTACTAAGCCAAGCCTCACCCCCTCACCCCCGCCTGGTGTGACAAAGCACTCGGCGCCGGCGGGGTCATGGAAGGTCTAGCAGTCTTAGCTACCCTGGGACATTCTCACATCCTGCGGGCGCAAAAAGTTATGTCGCCCCCCCCCCCCCCTCCCAGGTAGGAGCGTCGGGCGAAGGGCAGCAAGCCGCGGAGCTGAGACGGGTACCGGAAGATGGTATGGGGCCACTGCTTGGTCTCCGCCTCACGGATGACTTCCTCCCAACGCCGGTCTCTCCAATCTGCGGTCCATGTCCGCTTCGGGGGGCTCGTCGACGTCGGGAGGCGACATGGGCGCACCCTCGGGCCCAGGATCAGCTCGTTGAGGAATACGGTCGTCAGCTCAAGGCGCCACCACGACGAATTCATCGTCAGCGGCAGGAGCAGGCCCAAGTTCTAGACCACCGCGGGTGTACCACGGCTTTCTCGACCCTGGCAAGTGGGGGTCTTGAAGCTCCCCGCCAGCAGCAGACGGGAACCTGAGGCCGCACTCGTTGAAAGTCGCGATGCAGGCGGGGGCCGATGCAGGGTCCGCGGGTTCGATGAACGTCGCCTCGCTGAGGAGAAGGGCGGACTCCTCGCACGGGAAGCGACGCTCACGCGGGCAGACGCGGCTGGTGGCTGGTGCCCTGGATGACTATCGGAACAGAGGATCCGCTCCCTCCATGCCCGCCGCGGGAGAGAAGCCTCCGAACCGCGTGGTTGAACGCCCGTCCCTCTCACCACACAGTGTTTTTGATCCGCGGGTCGAGAGCGCACCTCTTCCGGTCGAAGCTAAGCGGGCCGCGCGAAGCTTGAATTAGGCAGAGAGGAGGGAGGAAGCGGCGGAGCCTCAGAGCGAGGCCGAGAGGAGGCAGAGCCTCGGAGCCCTGTCACCACACAGGTCGGCCTCGGGCGTGCCCCTCGGGGAGACCGCGGCGTCCCCGGTGGGCCCCCTCGCAGCTGCCCTCGGGGAAGGGCTCGTGCCGACGAGGGGCCCGCGCGGACACGGATGGCAGAAGGCCGAGGGCAGCACTGCCTGGAAGTCCCCCGCCCACGCCATGGCCAACTGAGTTTGGCGGCGCGCACAAGGGGGTGGGGGGAGGGGGAGGGCTTCTTAAAAGCAGGCTGCTTCTTTGAAGGCGCCAGCCTTACATCTATAGATAAGGCCCGCGCCTTCTAAAAGGCTCCCCCCTCCCCCCACCCCCCTCTGCGCGTGACTGATGAGCGACGATCCAAAACGGGTCCTACGCGAGATGACGTAGCGACCTCACGCGTCTGCTGACGCGGGCACCCAGCGCGGCACGCTGCATTTGAGTATCGTTTCTGCGATCCCCATCCGCAGCGGCGTGGTCTGGGCCCACTGGCCGGTTTGCCCCCCTCAGATGAGGATACAGGTCGTTCCCTTCGGGTTTCGAGGGGTGTGTCCCCAACTCGGGTGGTAATCTGGTGGGGGTCTCGAAGGGGATGGGGTATGGGGGTGGGGATCGGTTAAACGATACCGAACGAGGGCGCTCACGCGCGACCCTACGCGGGCAGCTTGCGCGCCAGCGTCGGCGCAGCCGTCCCCGCTTTCTCACGTCGCTCCACTGGGCGACGGCGGCCAGTCGGCGGATCGGTCTTCGTGGTGCTCGTCGTGCGGGCCGACGTCCGGGGTCGGCTTCTAAGAGGCGGCGCCGCGGCGGGGGGCGGATCGAGGATTCGAGGATTCGAGGATTCGAGGATCGAGGATTCGAGTTCCTCGAGCAGGACGTCAGCAGTGTCATGGCCGGTGCCTGCCGGAGCTGGGGCGGCGGAGCATCCCACTGGACAGGCAAGGGCGTTTTGACGTTCAACTGGTGGCCCTCCTGGTGGGCTTCTGCATGCTCTGCCTGGGGGGAAAACAAACCTACCTCGCTTTTGACCACCCTCGCTTCCAAGAGATACCAAGCGATGCCACACTACGGCCTGTACTGGTCAGGCCGCTTGACGAGGAGGCGCGTGGCATGCCTTGGTTTTGCCTGGAAGCGAAAGCGGGGTAGGTCATTCACGCTCTGACTGCCAGAGCGCCAGGAGCGGGAGCGTCCACGTCCAGATTTGGGGCGGAGAGAAAGCCGCACGTCATCCGCAGAGTTGCGAGACGCTCGGCGCACATCAGCCAGACCCCGAGGAAAGGCCTCGGGCTGCGCGCCTGGCCATCGCAGCTTCCGCGGCAGGAGCGCGGGGGGAGAGAAGCAGAGGTAGCCGATGATGACGTCGGCGACGGCGACAGCGACCACAACAAACACGACGACGACCATGCCGACGCAAATCACGGCAACCGCGACGAGGGCATCAAGTCGGGCGGGCGGGCCAGACTCTAAATGTCATCAACCTCGCCGACTGGTACTGTAAGGCAGAATTCTGGCAAAAGACAAGGAGGAGGAAGGTACGACGTCGTTGACATGGTCTTCGCAGTCGTTGGTTGCCGCGGTCATTTTCGCCCGATGCTACCCCCCCCCCCAGAATCTCATTAGGTCAGACATGTCCCCCCTCAGGAGGATGTTGGACGGAACATTAAACAAACAAAACAAGATTCTCCAAAGTGGTAAACAAAAATCGTCCCCGGACTATTTTGAACTATTTTTGAATACTCTTCCTGTAGAGGTACGTGCCCGACTTCTAAGAATATCGAGAAGGGAGGAGGGGCTGTCGTACACACACCAGTGCAGCGGGAACGGGGGCCAGTGGGGGTGGTCGTAACCCCTCCACCTGCCCAAACGCACATCAAACACGCCGCTCGCATCTGGGTGTCTCTGCCAGCCCCCCCGGGACCGCAAACAAACGACTCAAGGTGAAAAGCCAGTCCCAGGAAAGTAGCCTGAATCTCCGGGAGTCCACCTATCGGAGAGACGTAAGACTCGAGTACGGGGGACTCGGGTTGGCCTGACGGGGCAATCATAAAACATGGCGAGACACAATCTGAAATTTGACGCGAACTCCCGCTGCAAACATCCCACGAAAACCGGACCGTCAAAATCCAAGACGCGCTCGTCAAAAAACGTCGGCAAACCCGAGCTCCAGCTTACTCGAGTCGTACGGTTCCCCGAACCTGGTCCCTGGTCGAAAAAAACAAGTTCTAAGGTTTGGTCCCTCCTCTTCCTCCTCAACCCTTCCTTGCGCCACAATTGGAATACTCCGATCCGTCAACCCCTTGTAGATGGATACTGTCCGGTTGCTCATCACGTAGCCGCTGCCGCCACCAGCGTACGTGCTGCCCTGGCCGTAGCTGTCGTCGGTCACCTTGTGGTGGCCCTCCTGCTCTTCCCCTTCCTCATCCTCCCATCCCACTAATTACTACGGGTCACCTGGTCACAGTACTTCCCCACCAGCACCACGCTCGAGAGCGAGGAGGCATCGAAGGGCAGCACACTGTCCTCGTTTTTCAGCAGCACCGCGCTGTCGACGATCGTCTGACGGGCGAGGTCGCGGTTCTTGTCGCTCGTGGTGTCCAAATCCAGCGAGGCATCCGCCGACGTGTAGTGAAACTTCCCGTCGAAGTGGCCAACAGCGTACATGGACCTCAGCACGTTGCCGGCCATCTCGTCGATAGTCTCCTCAGACAAATCCCCGTCGGTCACGAGCTTCTCCAATTTCTGGAACTCATCATCGTCGCCGCCTGGCATCTCCATGTCGAGGCCAGCATCCGCAGACCGCTTGGCGTCGTGAGTTGCCCCCCAGTCGCTCATGATGAACCCGCGGAATCCGAGGTCCTCGCGCAGCAGGGTCTTGAGCAGCTGCTTGTTCTCACACGCGTGGGTGCCATCAACCTTCTGGTAGGAGCACATCACCGCACTTGCGCCGGCTTCGATGGCGGCCTTGAAGACTGGCATGTAGATCTCGTGCTGCGTGCGAGCGTCCACGTCGACGTTCATGGTCATGCGGAAGATCTCCTCGTTGTTGTCGAGCCAGTGCTTGATCGTGACGATGATGCCGCGATCCTGAACGGCCTTCACGTAAGGGCCGACGAGGCTCGCACCCAGAAACGGCTCCTCCCGGGTTGGATGATATAGGGGGGGCAAGAGAAGGGTTACCAGCAAATTAGCTCACGTGCCCGATTTTCCCGACGCCTCTCGGCGAAGGAGGCGCAAGAGGATCGGGGAAAGCGCCTAGCGGCGGAGACGAATCCAGCTGTACGCAGCGGACTCCTTGAAACCACCCCCTTTGCACCCGATCCGATCCTCCCCGGTCAGCGTCTCGAAACTACGGCCCGTCAGCGGAACCCTGGCCACCTCGATGTCGGGGCCGAGCAAGACGTTGGCGCCCTTCGTCACGAACTCGTCGGCAATCGCACCGGCGTACTTCTCTGAGACAGTCGGGTCGAAGCTGGCCGCCACGGCCAGAAGGCACGGAAACTGAGTGGAGGTGCCAGCCAGGGCCTCCTGGTAGTGGTTGTAACCCTGAGGGCCGTCGTTCAGTGCGAGCGGCATCGCACAATCGTTGCCGAGCGCGCTCTGAGGGTTGATGTAACCGGCGTACCTGGTTGCCTCCCAGATGTGGTTCGAGTAGATGAGGTCGGAGAATCGCGGCGCATCGGCAATGCATCGGCGATGCGTCGGCGACGTCGGCGATGCATCGGCGGCATCGGCGTGGATAAAATCGAGCTCCACATCGAGCCGCGGCGCGATCCTCCGACCCCGTCTGCTCGGACCGAATTTGGGAGGCCTGGATTACCCGTGGCGGTCGTCGGGCCACTCGCTGTTCTGCCCATGGAGAAGGGTGGACGGTTTCCACCAGGGCCGTAGGCGACCCGAGGAGGGGAGGGCGAGGAGGAGGAGGAGGAGGAGGAGGAGGAGGAGGAGGAGGAGGAGAGGAGGAGGGAGGAGGAGGAGGAGGAGGAGGAGGAGGAGGAGGAGGAGGAGGAGGAGAAGGGGGGAGGAGGAGGAGGAGGAGGAGGAGGGAGGAGGAGGAGGAGGAGGAGGAGGAGGAGGCGGAGGAGGAGGAGGAGGAGGAGGAGGAGGAGGAGGAGGAGGAGGAGAGGGAGGAGGGGGGGGAGGAGGACGGGTCGCCTAAGCCCTTCGGAGAAACCCTCCAGAAGAGTGATCTTGTCCTTCAGGCTCAGCGTCGCGAGGAGCTCCTTCGCCCGACCGTCGGCGGACTCCCACGCCCCCGCGGGGTCCTCGGACAGCGTCGGGAATCCGCCCTCCGACTTGCACGGGGTCCAGGCGTGGGAGTCGCCGGGCGTGCGCTTCCCCAGCGGCACGCACGTCCAGCCCAGGTTGTCGTCGTAGCCGTCGTCGCTGCGGTAGTCCTTGTTGCACGTGGCGTTGCAGTTTGCCCAGACGTCGCTCTTCTGGAAGCACTGGAGGCCTGCCGGCGGCGCGCACCAAAAGGGGCAGGAGAGGCGCGAGGGGGGCGGCGTCTCAGGAAGCGCCATGACGCCCCCAAGAACAGAGGAACACACAACGACATATATCAGATGCTCATTATGGGGACCTTCCTGGAGCCACTCGCTCCACTCGTGCGTCGAAGCTGCGTCGAACCTGAGTCGAACCTGAGTCGAATCTGAGTCGAATCTGTGTCGAACCTGAGTTGAACTTGAATCGAGCCTGAGCCGAACAGATCCATTAGGTGGGCCCCAAGAAGGTCCCCAAAACGAGCATCGACCATATACATAAACTTTTGGCGGCCCGCGCAGACTTCGTGGATCTGCGCTGGACCTCGCACACTGGCGCGCAGAGCGCGCAACGGGCGGCGCCGGAGGCACCGCCAGGGGGTCCCAACGCAGATCCAAAAAATCCGCGAGGGCCGCCAAAAGTGTATCTTTATATGCTCTTTTTCGCTCCTCGAAAAAAACCTCCCTTGTGGATCATGGGCGCTCCCGAGAAAGCACCCGCTTCTTCAGAAAGGCCGCCCCCCCCTTGCGCCCTCGCTGAGGTCGGGCATGTCCTCCTACAGGCGGGTTTTGGAACGAACGTGCGCAACGTGCCACAAAAGAACGCAAAAAATCGTCGCCAGGCTATCCTTTCACTATTCTTGAAGATTCCCCTTGTAGCGAGACGTGCCCGACGTAAGCCCACGCCCCTCGTGCGCACCGCTGGGCCTGGCAAGCTGCAACACTGCGTCTTGCTGCAATCGCCCTCGCCCGTGCACCCGCTGCAGTCCCCCGACTGGCACGCCAGCCCCTCCTCCGTGAGTTCGCCCTCGCCGCCGCCGCCCGCGCCGGGCTCGCCGCCCGCCCCGCCCGCCCCGCCGCCGCCCAGCACCTCGCAGGACCACACCTCGCCGTCGAAGGGGTCCGGCTCCTCGCAGAGGGCCGCGCGCGGGCCGGACGCGGCGGGGCCCCTCGGGCAAGAGCGAGGCGGCCAGTGCCCGCGAGCGGCGGACGTGTCCACGTCGACGCCCTCGCGGGCTGGCTTCTGGGGCGCGGCCCCGCGGACACGTGGTCGCACGGATGCGTTCCGCGCGGAAGGAGGAGGAGGGAGGAGGGGAGGAGGAGGAGGAGGAGGAGGAGGAGGAGGATGAGGAGGAGGAGGAGGAGGAGAGGGGAGGAGGAGGAGGAGGAGGAGGAGGAGGAGGAGAGAGAGGAGGAGGAGGAGGAGGAGGAGGAGGAGGAGGAGGAGGAGGAGGGAGGAGAGGAGGAGGAGGAAGGGGAGGGGGGAGGAGGAGGAGGAAGAGGAGGAGGAGGAGGAGGAGAATGAGATGAGGAGGAGAAAAAGGAGGAGGAGGAGGGGGAGGCAGGGGGAGGGGAGGAGGACGAGGAGGAGGAGGAGGAGAAGGAGGAGGAGGAGGAGGAGGAGGGGAGGAGAGAGGGGGAGGAGGAGGAGGACGAGGACGAGGAGGAGAGGAGGGGGAGGAGGAGGAGGAGGAGGGGGAGGAAGAGGAAAAGGAGGAGGGGGGGGAGGGGAAGGAGGAGGAGGAGGAGGAGGAGGAGGGAGAGGAGGAGGAGGAGGAAGAAGAGGAGGAGGAGGAGGAGGAGGAAAAGGAGGAGGAGTAGGAAGAGGGGAGGAAGGAGGAGGAGGAGGAGGAGGAGGAGGAGGAGGAGGAGGAGGAGGAGGAGGAGAGGGGAAAGAAGAGGGGAGGAGGAGGAGGAGGAGGAGGAGGAGAAGGGGTGGAGGAGGAGGAGGAGAAGGAGAAGGGGGAGGGAGGAGGAGGAGGGGAAGGAGGAGGGGGAGGAGGAGGAAGAGGAGGAGGAGGAGAAGAAGAGGAGGAGGAGGAGGAGGAGGAGGACGAGGAGGAGGAGGGAGGAGGACGAGGAGGAGGAGGAGAAGGAGAAGGAGGAGGAGGAAAAGGAGGAGGAGGGGGAGGAGGAGGAGTGGAGTGGAGTGGAGCAATCGGACGTAGTCCGTACGGAACCCAGAGACGCCAGGGGGGCCATCCAATATTTCTCGGAGGGCCGTGGGGGGCGACATCCCACGGCACACCGCGACAGGCCCCCCTGGCCTCGCAATTTACTCGGAGGCAGCACCCGCCGCGTAGGAACCGATCGCGGCTTCGGCTGCCGAAACGTGCATAGCCTCTAGAACTGACTTGCTGGGACCCGGTCTGGACGGGTGAAGGCCTCGCCTGATCCTGCTGAGGTTTTCGAGGCCTTTGCCAGTGGGTCCCAGGGCCCTGCGCTCTCCCACTTGGTGGGAGAGAGGGCAAGGAAAAAGAAGGCTTTTAACCTGGTGTGTGGCCGTATGGCCGCACTTCACACAGAAGAACATTTGCCACTTGGGGATGGTGGCCAACGTGTGGGAGGGGTGTATCGCCTTGCCACTGATCACGCGGGGACCCCGCGACCACAGCACCTCGCCACACGCAGCAAACTCGGGAAGGGGGCAAGGCGGTACACACTCCGTGGCGGCAGCTGGAATAACGTGGCAAGCATCGACGATGATGAGGCAGGCAGAGCATCGCCATTTATCTGCACACCGCTCGAATTTGTGCTGAGAAGCCGCGATCGCGGTCTGCAACAGAGAACGAGGGGCAGCCTCCTGGGTGGGTTGCCTCTCTGGCCACAGTCCTCGAAGCTCTGAATTCTTGCCTAAGGAACGTAGGATCAGTCGTGCCCTCTGACGGACAATGGCTGCGATAGCATCGTATTCATCGGCCCTGGGGACAGGCGGGAGGGCAAGGGTGGCCGACTTTTGGGCCGCGCTTCCCGCGAGCTCGTCGGCTTGCTGGTTGCCGAGAGCAAGAAATTTTTGGAAACCATGCATAGTCTGGGGATCGGCGTGAGATGGGGTCCAGAGCACCGTGACCGAGGAGACGCCGCCAGGTCGATCCTGCACGAGGTGCCGAATTCTCAGCCAGAGATCCCCATTCTTATTCTTACCTCTAAGGCTGCCTGGTCTGAGACATCTGCCATTCTGCCAACCACGCTGCAGGGCTAGGTGATCTGTAACAAACGTGAAATCCTGCTGGCACGTCTCAAGTGCCAGGCAAAACGCATGCAATTCGCCTCTTGGGACGGTCTAGCGGGGGCCTGGGAGGGGGGCAAGGAGGCCCGCGCGGAGGGTCCAGGAGGCCGAGGGAGGGTCCCATCGGAGGGCCGCGAGGCCAGAACCAACGCGCCGTCGCCTGACGTCGTCGGAAAAGGCTCCGCCAGACCCGTCACCAAAAAGAAACAACTCGCCCTCAGCGTTGCGAGCTCCTTCCCACGACGGCAATCCCTCCCGCACCGCACCAACAAACTCACACCCGTCCCTCCCAGTCAATGGCTCGAACGTGGGCGTAGTGAGAGCGACAGAGGGAAGGCCACGGAGCCACAAGGCGGGGTCGGCATCGACCCCCGCCACGGCTCGCGGTAGTAACTTGTCACTGGCCTCAAACTCGGGTCCCACATTCGCCTCGCACTGCCACGCTCGGCGAAACAGGGTTTCGGGAACTCCAGCGCTGCATCGGTCGCAGTTCTTGTCGATATGGTAGCCCGCGTTGTGGAGGCGGTCTCTGGTCCACTGTCCTCCGCTGATGATGGTGTTGTTGAGGGCCCAGTCGCTGAAGTCGCCGTTTGCGAGGAACCTCCTTTGTTCAATGCGGATAGTGACCATGTCTGCACCTCCAGCCAGCGTGTCACCATGGGCATGCGTAGCGGCCTGGGTCCAGAGGAGCCTGTGTAAATCCTCGCTGAGGTCCTGCAATACTGCGTGGATGTCGGCGTCGAGGAGGTCAGGGTCATCGGCAGGGGGGAGGTTCCACTCCTCAATGTAGCCGTCCTTCGTACGCCTCCACGTGGTAGCTGAGGTCGGCTCCCAACTGGCCTCCAGCAGGGTCGCGATGGCCGCGCCTGTGGGTCCCTTGACCTTGCGCCACAGCTTGGGGCCTGCGGCGAGCAAGGTGGTCTTGATCCTTGGCCAGGCTCTGATGATCCTGGCGTGCGTGCTCGGGTGGCGTATCCAGTGCTGAAGCCAAGCCTCGATGAATTCGATCCTTAGGGAAACTCCTGGGTCCATGCCGTCAAAGGTGGCGCCGAGGGGGGAAGTGAGGCATCGGCCCGCTGCTGCTCCCGTGGCAGCAATGGCGGCCTGACGCCGCCATCGTAATAGAGCGTGCCGAGCGAGGCCGTGCACCTGATGTCCGAATACTCCTTCTGGGAGAGCGCCAGTGCGCCGCAGTCCTGCTGAGATTCGGGCCTGCTGTGCTGTGCTCCGTAGTCGGTGTATCTTGCGAAACCTAGCTGTGGCTGAGCTCTGTCGCTTCCTGGCTTTGGCTTGTACCCGTCGAATAGCCGCGGCCGCGTCAGCTCCGAGGTCGACGGCCGTGGCGGTCGCAGTAACTGGGATGTCGTACTGCCGCAACTTCTTGGCTAGCGATTGGCGGACCTTGGGGGTGGAGCCGATGAGGACAGTCTTGTCTGAGATAGGCAGCTCGAACTCCTTTAAACCGTCGCAGAGCGTCTTGGCGGCACGGGGGAGGTGCTTCTGTAGAGCACGTAGGACTCCTTCGACTCGAAGAACAGTGTCGTATACGAAGGTCCACATCTGGGCAAGCTCTGCCTGAGCTTGGGCTTGCCGTAGAATTGGTAGTAAGATGACTCGTGCCAAGGTGGTGCCGTGAGGGGAGCCTGCAATGATGCCTTTGGAGGCGAAGATAGGCAGACCCACCCATTGTCGACTGCGCAAGAATCTGGGCGCCAGGTATAGCTGCACTTCCAGTAATAGAATGATGGGGGGAAAGCCGCAGTTGAGGCCGACCATGATGAGGTTGGAGAGCTTAAAATTGTCGTAGAACTTCTGGATGTCTAATAGCAAGGTGGCCGACTGTATGCCAAGTGCTGAGGCTGTCTCGTCTAACAAGGCCCTATGTAGGGCGGCTTGGAGAGCTGAGGGGCCTTTGATGGCTGTAGTCCAAAAGTCGTCCAGACCTTGCGTCCAGGCCGCCGATGCAGTCGATCTAATGCGAGACCAGAGTCTGGCCATATGAGGTAGCATGCCGAGGACCCTGTCGCCTCCAGACTTATTGGCGGCGAGAGCTGCAATAGTGCCTGAAATTTGTAGTGGCCAGATGCCTGCTTGCTCTACTGAGTTGAGGATATCTGCATAAGCTTCGACTGCTGGTTCTGGTAGTCGATGGAGGTCGCGAGGTCCTAGGGCGTCAACTCCGTGTGCTTTACTGGGTGGCATGCGGCCGTGAAAGCGGTGTACGATCTCGGCTGTGATGGGCTCGAGCGGTTGACGAGCGGCTGCTGCCTTGGCCTTTGACAGGGCCTGTAGGATGTCGTCGGGGGTCTCGGTGGCTTGCCATACTTGTTGCCATTGTTGCTTCTTGTTGTCCATGATAACGGTGGGGTCGGCGATGGTCAGGTTGGTCGCGTAGGCCTCGATGTGACGTACGGGCGCTGGCTTGACATGGGCGTGTAGTACTCCAGGGCGGTGCTTCCATTGCTGGGCGAGCCAAGCCCCGCAGGCCCTCTTGGACTTGGCGAGGGCGGCCGAGAGCGCTCTGGAGGCCCAAGTAGCGGTAATAGTGACCAAGTCGTCGGTGTCATCCTTGTCCAAGTGCGGGGCCCAGACGAGTGCAAACCAGCGGAAGATGGTGTCCTCATCCTTCTCGAACTGGAGGTCGTGCATGTGAGTGTTGAAGTGGTCCGCGCGCAGCTGGATGATGGAGGCCTGCTGCTGCATGAGCGCTGTGTGCTTGGGCTTGTCGTGAAGCGCAGCGTAGCGCTTAATGAGGGTGAGCGTGATTGCCCACCATTCCGGCTGAGGGTCACGTACGTGTACGCGGCCTGGGGCGGCGGCTGTCTTCTTCCAAGATAACTGGTAGCCTTGGGCGCGGCCTGTGTATGCTGCGGCTTCCTTCGGGTCGATCTGGTGGTGGCTGAT